TGCAAAGTATATATCCACATATCAAGCGCCCTGAGCATCTTACATTAGATGGATATGTGCGCTATATAAAACTACACTATTATTATTATTATTATTATTATTATTATTATTATTATTATTATTATTATTATTATATACGAATACAGTAGTCATTTCCTGAACTGTGTCTATAGTGAATTGGAATCATTATGAATTTTTTTTTTCTTTTTTAAAAATTCGTATTGACGAATGTTGTTGGTTTTCATATTATCTTGTTGATTCTGATTAAAGTTGTGGCCTATTTAAAATCATTAACCTATCCGGTAATATCATTATCACCTGTATTCAGAAACTTCTTTTCAACAATCAAGTACCAAACTTGAAACTTTCACAGTTAATATTTCTCCTCTAAATTTTCAATGTAAAGGTAAATGATAAACGTAGGAGAATAACCCATCTCGCAGCCTGCTGAATTGCGTATGGCGTCGATCGGTGGGGACAGGGGGACACGCATCCTTTCCCCTCCCTCACATTTCAAAGTCAGGGGACAACATATCAATTGTTTCCCCCCTCCCCAACTTTTCACCAATCTTCTATAGAAAATCCCATTTTTCAAAGCGAGTGGAATGAACAACAACAATTACGAATATCTGCCATTATTTTTGTCTGTTCCTTGTGCTCTGTTCCAAGTGAGGTGCGTATTTCCGGTGACCAAAACCAAGTAAAAACGCAACTGTTTGTACTGTACATTTCGTAACCAAACTCCATCGATTTTACGGGTTCAACGATAATCAGAGGCTAAATTTATTGTGAAAACAATGTACTATAATGGAAGTGTGTAAACATATATTAGGCCAAAATGTTTACGATCTCAAAATGAGTATTTCAGTGGCAAGTTCCAGTGGGGCCCACCCTCCTTAAATGTTTCAAAATTTAAAAGTGGAGGAAAAACAAAATTATATTAAAATGTAGGTCTGAGAGTGCCATTTCCGGTCAACTAGAGGCGCCATAATAAAAAATGTTCTTACCTCAGCCCCAACCATGGTGGGACTGGGGTGGCCTACACTCCTTGTAAAAGCCCCTCCGTGGGCCCCCTTTTCGAATTTCTGGACCCGCCAATGTATTTTGAAAATGTAGTGCGGAAGTAATTTAATTGCATTCCTTAAAATCAATTAGATATCACTTAAAAAAGGCCATAGCTTCCGGGACCCCCACCGGCCCGTTCCCTAGTCAAGACTTTATTTTGAAATTCGACCCCCACCCCCACTTTCCACCACGGATTGATGCCCTTGGCGACGCGTGGTCCGTGACTACTCTCCTAGCCGCCTTAAAGAGGCGCTTATAGTAAGCTAATGTTCACACACCATTCCACAAAGACAAGAGCTGAAATGAATCATAGCATCTTGATTACCCAGGCACCTACCCTTCCGAAAGATGCAATTGGTCCTTTAAAGTGCACACGAGCCAGATGTGTACAATGGACCTCCATTTGAACTCCTTATCCGAGAAGACTTGGTTTCAACCAAACTCTGGGAGGGATGAGCAGTTGGAACCAGCGATGATATTAAGGCTTAGCTAGCGGCGCCCATGACTTACCGCTCGGGCCCAGACTCGGGAAAATACCCAGAACTAAACTGTTTCAATAATATCCATTCGTTTATTGCATATTTCAAATGTAGAATAAATAAACAGTTACAGATAATATTTTCCATTCAATTAACTTCTCACATAAAATACAGTGAAGGAATCGAGCCATCAGAAAACACACACCTCTTCTCTACGGTCGGCTACTGAAAACCTAAAGTCGACACGAATACGGCTGTGTATGCTAAGTTTTTGTTAATTACAGTAATATAGTCTATGCACACATTTTAAATGAGTAATATTCATTTTATTTTAGAGTCCTGTAATATCGGCGAATTTTAAGTAGCATGATGTTTCTTGGCAAGGCGCTATCGTGGCTCTTTGTTTCATGTGTAATATTTACTAGCAGTAAAGCTTTTCAAAATGGTAATGTATTAACTTTATTTAAAAACAAAGCTAATATCATGTTTTTGGTTGGCGATTGAATGAAATTTTTTTTGTTTTGTTTGTTTGTTTTGTAAAATGTACTAATGATTACAGTACTGATTAATTATTCAGTCAGTGATACCATAGGCCCTATGCTGCAATTAACGAATGGACCCACCCACCCTCTATTCTGATTGGTCAGTTGTTAAATTGATTGATACTTCCGGAAAACAGCACTGCAGCACGTTGAATTCTCATTAAAAGAGGTTGTACGTTGCGCATGATTGTAAACAGGTATCAAATGTAATATTAATAAACATTAATTTCTTAACAGCAATATATTTAATATTTATTTCTCTGTATGCAATATTTAAAAAAAATAAAGCAGTCGGAAAAACAATTAAGATACAACAAATGTTGGACTCTGATTCTCCACAAGGGCCGGCGGGATAACCAAAAAGTAAAATAAATTACTGTCAATGTGGCTCTCCATGCGATTTGGGGAATCAGAAAACAATAAAACACAAATAAAAAGAAGAAGCAGATTAAATATAAATTTAAATTACAATATAGAAAATAGAAATAAATAAAATTTCAGTTACCATCATCGTAACCATATTTAAAATCGTTATTAAATTTCAAAAATATATAGGCCTATATTTATTTATTAATTTTTTTAAAGATAAATTGTATACACATTAATATAATCAGATACAACATAGGGCAAGACACCCAGAAGACTCGGTATCCAGACATGCCCAAGCAAATTAAACGGACAGTCATTAAAGATTATAATAATGTTCCCTGAGCAGCTTACTATAAAAGAGTTTAAATTAAAAAGTAGGTAGTTTTCGCCGCACGACGTTAACCTTAAAGCCGGTTTTCCACAGCGAATTGAAAGCGTCGGTTCATGCGCATGCGCGTTTAATTTCTATCGGAGTTTTTGCGAAGCGATAAAATGCGCAACCAATCAAAGCTCAGGAAGCGAACCGACGCTTTGATTCGCGCGAATAAATTCGCCTAGTGGAAAACCAACTTTAAGCCGGCTCATTGCGCGCGACGGCGACGCGACGATGAACACACGCGACTGCCACTGACAATCAGTAGACGGCGTTACGTCGTCTATCGCTCGCTGGAAGCAGAGGTGGATTCGTCGTGCGACGGTCGTACGACCGTCGTAAGACGCAGTGAGTGCCCGGCTTAACGTTAACGGATGACGTCATGATTTATTCATCTTGCGTAGCGGAGCACGTAGGATGTTACGTGCTTGACGTACGTTAGTTAGGGGTTTGTGCATGTGTATTTCGATTTGTTTGAAGGCATGCATGAAAAGCAAGTCTTCTGAGTGTCTTGTGTTGATCATAACAATTTGTGACAATCAAAGTCATATAGACAGTATAAACAATTAAATACAAATAAAATTAAAATATATTCCGTTCATATCTAGTGTTCATATAGATTAAATTAAAATGAGCAAGTCTTTCATCGTAACTAAATACAGAAATAAATTCAAAAAGGGATGCTCATACGGGTTGCCTTTCTCTGAACTTTTTCAATATATTATTAAAACAAAAATGTTGTTTTTATTATTAATACTACTATAATAATAGGTATAATAATAAATTATCATTAGAAGTAGTAATTATTATTAATACTCTATTTATTTTCATTTTTTTTTGTTCAGATTCCCAGGAAATTGTAGTTAGTTTTGAAGACTCTTGTGCAAATCGTTGCTCGGCAACCAGGCTGAGTCTCTTGGACTGTGCTTGTGATGAGGATTGCTTATTCTTCGGTGACTGTTCTAAAGATTACCTATACTACTGTAGCGATGATAGCGAAACAAGTAACAAGAACCTAGCCGCGTCCATCATTCACCAACGCCATCGTTCTTTAAGTGGTACAACCAAACCACGATGGAGTTGCATCGCAAATCCAGACAGTGCTGAACCATCATCAGAAGGAATATTAGCTGTGGCATCCTGCCCGCCATCGTGGTCTTCTGATGATATCAGAAGAAAATGTGAAGTGCCCGGTGCAGTGCGCAAATTGGTTGGTGACGACACAGGTTACGTATACGCCAGCCGGTTCTGTGGAATTTGTAATATGGATGTTACTGACAGTGAAAACAATACAACAGAATCGAATTCTACATTTTCGTTGTGTGCCAGCTCATCTGAATCAACTACTAATTGTTCGTTAGAGTTTTTGGTAGAGGAGGTCAGTGAGATATCCGTTGAACTGCGCCCATGCTCTCTACGATTGTTGGACACGTGCCCACATGATAAACCCGAAAAACTTGTATTGGGTTGTAGTGCTTTTATTGATGTAATTATATATGGCGCACATATGTATAAAAATAACATGTGCCTAAATTGTTATTGGCCTTGTTATAATTGTAATACCGTTCTACCTGTATATGGCATTGTCTTCGGTGTACGACCAGTACCGAATGGACATTTCCTCGATGAACCTAGATATATCCTCGATGAACCTAGATATATCCTCGATGAACCTAGATATATCCTCGATGAACCTAGATATATCCCCGCTAAGGTATTAAATTTAGAAATTCATCCAAAATTGTGTATCGAAAATGAATATTACGATGAGGTAACAACAAAATGTCAACGATGTAATAATGGAATGATCGTTAGCGTGTCTGTGTACATATCGATTTTAAATACCGGTAAAAATATAGGCCTATTTGATCTCGAGCTACTAGGTGACTTCGGCCTAAAATCATCAGACAAGCTGGGGCCGATTGAAGGCAACGGTTCTGGCAACTATCAGTATGAAGAAATAAATGAGGAGGATAATCGTGGATTGGTAGACGAAGAAAGGAATGTATGTATCACATGTAGACCTAAGATCTTTGGGTCCGACACCCCGGTTGACGATGGATACTCTGATGAGGGTTGGGTTACATTGACAATCAATAATTCAAAATTGTCATGCAGAGTTTTGCGAAACTATCTTGTAAATGTAACGAAGGAACACAGGGCTTTATTATTTTATAACAGAACATTGACTATAGTGAACGTAACTGTTTGTATAATATCTTTAGTGGCGCTACTCATATCTATATTAACCCTATGTTGTTTCCCTTCGCTTCTCAACTTGCCAGGTATCTGCCGGTTGTGTCTAATGTTATCCCTTTTCTTAGCACAATTTATAATGCTTACAATTGCCTATGTAACTAAACCAGAAATCGTTTGCATTGTAACGGCTGCCATTATGCACTTCTTCTGGCTGGCTATGTTTATGTGGACCAATGTTATTGCGTTTGACCTGGCACGAGTATTTGGAACGCAGTCCCCTCGGTCAAGTACATCTAATAAAAGACTTTTGGTTGGCTTATATATGCTTTATGGCTGGGGCATTCCTGCAGTTGTCATAGCATTATGCCTTACTCTTCACTTCAGCGGTAAATTTGATTTCAGGTATGGAGGAGAAATACTTTGCTGGTTCTCAAACCATCGCTCTGTACTTTATGCCTTTGGCATTCCTGTAGCCATTTGCATTGTGTTCAATTTTGTCATGTACATTGTAACTGTCATTGGAATTTGGAAAGTCCGTCGGATTAGTGAGATTGCTGTCAAAGAAAATGAAAGAGGAAAGGAAAGAATGGACGAACTAAAAATTTATATCAAGGTATTTACGTTACTTTCATTCAAATAGGCCTATTTATGCTTACAAAAGGCGGCTTATTACCAATGTAGGGGTTATGCAAAATCAATCTATAAAAATAAACACACAGGCCTAATTAAAACTGATACTTCAAGGATAAAACAATGAAGCCCAGAGGCGTGTGATTCTAATACATAAATGCATTGAATATTTCTATAGGCTAGGCCTATGTTCTCATACAGCTGCTAACGGTTAGCAGGATCCGGATACTGCTACGGTCTCACACAGGTGCTAACGGTTGGCGCTGACGGTTAGCTCCCGATCCGGATACTTAGTGCTCTCGTGAGAACCAGGCTTTAGTTATTTATATCAACTTAAGTTAAGGCCTATGCAAAAACAATCTATAAAAGTAGTGCACTGTATATTTTTATGCAGACATACAGAACACAAACATACCAATACAGTATACTTTGTATGTTGCAAGTTTGTAAAGGACTCGCTACAACCATCAACATTCTTACAAGTGCACAAACAGTACACTGGGAGGGGGAGGGGGAAGATACATTTGTACACTTTTGCATATGGATGAAAAGATTACTGCAAAATAACATGCAATATTTAAGTACTGTAATCTATTTTTGATTGAATTTTATGACCAATAAGAGTAATGCAATCATGGATATAATATACATTTTTATGTAATATTTTAGATGTATTCATAAGAACTATACAAAATACACATTATTATTAAACATATTTGTCAAAGGTTATTTTATAAAAGCCATTTTAAGCTTTGATTCTGGGCGCTTTGTATCCTCAAGGTAATTCAACAAAAGGACGCACATCTCGGGACATCAAAGGTTATAACTCGGGCATCGACATTCTAGGCGCACGTGCGTCCCTACACACTGAACGTCACAAAAACCATAGCAACCAAACCATAAACCGTCAGCGTACGTGACATTTTACCCACGCGCGTGTTAGTTGCCATGTTAGTCGCGCGTCGTGCGGTGATTACAAAGGCCTAATGATATTTTGCACTAACATTAGACTGAAATATATTCTTCATTTCAACATTAATTTTACCAAAATTGTGGTGAATTGTCGTTTACGAGACTCACTTCGCAGAAAAAATTAATAAATGTTCCGTATATACTCAAATGTTCGTCC